ACTTGTGCCTTCCTCCTGCAGCTGGTATCTGCTCATTCGAGTTGAAGTGAGAACACTATACACTTGTGCCTTCCTCCTGCAGCTGATATCTGTTCAGTGGAGTTGAGGTGAGAACACTATACACTTGTGCCTTCCTCCTGCAGCTGGTATCTGTTCATTCGAGTTGAGGTGAGAACACTATACACTAGTGCCTTCCTCCTGCAGCTGATGTCTATTCATTCGAGTTGAGGTGAGAACACAATACACTCGTTCCTTCCTCCTGCAGCTGGTATCTGTTCATTCGAGTTGAGGTGAGAACACTATACACTTGTGCCTTCCTCCTGCAGCTGGTATCTGTTCATTTGAGTTGAGATGAGAACACTATACACTTGTGCCTTCCTCCTGCAGCTGGTATCTGTTCATTTGAGTTGAGATGAGAACACTATACACTTGTGCCTTCCTCCTGCAGCTGGTATCTGTTCATTTGAGTTGAGATGAGAACACTATACACTTGTGCCTTCCTCCTGCAGCTGATATCTGTTCAGTGGAGTTGAGGCATGCACATCCACCATTCCACACACTATGGCATGAATTCTCTGCCCTCCTCCCACGGTCTGATAGTCTGCAGGTATAGTTGAGGTGAGCAGAAGGTATGGTGTGAACAAGCCCCAATCATACTACACTTATTGGCTCTCTGACCTATTGTGTGCAATTATTGGATGGCTGTGTTTTTATTTTGCCCATCCCTGTGATGCATGGGTCTCATTTGACTTCTACTCCCTTTTTCCTGGGCAAAGAGTATAACCTGGAAGAGATGAGATGTGGTTTGTCATGGGTGTGCCCCTGTGGAGTTCTTGCCATTGGGTGTCACACTCCATGGGTATCTTTCGGGGACCACTTTCTGAAGGGAAATGATCTAGATAAGTCTTTGTAGCAGCCCCTCCACCACTTCAGTGTGGGATTCTGACTTAATTGTGTGAATAATTGTGTATTGTCTCAGAAGTTAATATTTTTCTTACCTGAAAACGTATTTCCAATAGATACTCATTTCTCACACACATTTACACCAATCCTTCCCATTTCTGGTGGACCTTAGTATTTCTTGCCTTATCAAGGAGTGAAGATCATAAGTGCCAAAGTATAGAGGGAGTTAATGTGTAAGGAGGTGTGTCACGCTTCTGTTGGTAGAAGGATTTTGCTGCATAATAGTGTAATGTAATTTAATGTGTAAGGAGGTGTGTCACACTTCTATTGGTAGAAGGATTTTGCCGCATAATAATGTAATGTAATTTAATGTGTAAGGAGGTGTGTCACGCTTCTGTTGGTAGAAGGATTTTGCTGCATAATAGTGTAATGTAATTTAATGTGTAAGGAGGTGTGTCACGCTTCTGTTGTAGAAGGATTTTGCTGCATAATAGTGTAATGTAATTCATGGGAAATCTTGTGAGATTAAGTGGGAATTGCCTAAAGGCTAGTGACATACAAATCTCTAATGCAGACACATGGAGAAGATAGCTTATTTATGTGAAGAGGCTAGTATCTATTGGAAATACATTTTCAGGTAAGGAGAATTAATGTCAAGATCAGAATCTTTGAAAAAAAGTGAGAGACTCTAACCTAACATTACTTCTATATCTGTAAGATGACAGATTTATGATATTCTTATGTGGTGAGGAAGTTTTATACCATATATTTCTTTTAAATAGTTTAACATATTTATTTTGGAGTTTCATTTTATAGTACTTTAACTTTCTTGCAATAATAGTCTTTGTTATTTTGAATAAACTTTCTTTGGGTTATAGAAAAATGTACTTCTAGTTTGTGTGCAGCTTTTTTTGGCAACTCTAAAATGCTTCATTGGAGTTTGATTTTATATTTTCAATCGACTGTGTTAAAATTCATTTTTACAGTTTAACAACTAATAGTTTTAGTAGTAAAGTCTTAAGTACAATCCTATTTTTCAAAGATTTTATCATAAATTGTAACTGTAACTTTGTGCAGCCAGCAAAAGTTATCAGGTTGATTTTCTCTGGATTTGGAGATGTAAAACTGGAAACTTGTGCTCCTGGGATTGGATTAGCTTTCATTTGTAACCATAGCCTTCATTTTGCAGATATGTCACGCTTCTCCATATTGGCTTGGAACAGATATGTCATGCTTTTCCATGTTGGCTTGGAACAGATGTGTCATGCTTCTCCATGTTGGCTTGGAACAGATATGTCATGCTTCTCCATATTGGCTTGGAACAGATATGTCACGCTTTTCCATGTTGGCTTGGAACAGATGTGTCATGCTTCTCCATGTTGGCTTGGAACAGATATGTCATGCTTCTCCATGTTGGCTTGGAACAGATATGTCAAGCTTCTCCATGTTGGCTTGGAACAGATGTGTCACGCTTCTCCACATTGGCTTGGAACAGATGTGTCACGCTTCTCCACGTTGGCTTGGAACAGATGTGTCACGCTTCTCCACGTTGGCTTGGAACAGATGTGTCACACTTCTCCATGTTGGCTTCGAACAGATGTGTCACGCTTCTCCATGTTGGCTTCGAACAGATGTGTCCCGCTTCTCCATGTTGGCTTCGAACAGATGTGTCACGCTTCTCCATGTTGGCTTGGAACAGATGTGTCACGATTCTCTATGATGGCTTGGAAGAGATGTGCCATGATTCTCCATGTTGGCTTGGAAGAGATGTACCACGATTCTCTATGATGGCTTGGAAGAGATGTGCCATGATTCTCCATGTTGGCTTGGAAGAGATGTGCCACGATTCTCCATGTTGGCTTGGAACAGATGTGTCACGCTTCTCCATGTTGGCTTGGAACAGATGTGTCACTCTTCTCTATATTGGCTTGGAATGTAATTTTGGACCCTGTTACTGTTCTAAATGTGCTGTTGTGTATTCCTTTTACATCCTAGGAAAACATTTAAGCCTTTCTTTAAATGTTGTTCTTTGCCACTTAACAATACTGTTGTATGGATATCAGAAAAGGTTATTGTTGAATGATCAATAATTAAGCACCTATATATATATATATATATATATATATATATAT